GACGCCTTTTCCGTAAGAAAATTTCTACCGCTTACAAATCTGGCAGGGTAAGGCTCTTTGTATCTCCTAAGGACATGCAGCTCAATGTTGATCTTGTGCAGACATAGATTACAGGCTATGGGTAAAGCTAATACTATTTGGAAGCTGAATAGCAATGGCAGCAAAAGCAGCACTAGCAGCGGTAGCGGCGGTAGCAGTATCAAAAGTAGTGACAGTAGGGGTAGCTCGGGCAGTGAAAGTGATGTGAATGATGATGGCGACTACAGAGAAGATGCAGATTCCGCCGCTACCTTGGCTGGACCAAATGGGACGATGATATCTTCGTCAGGACGCACCCCAGATGGCGATAATAAGCGTCTGCCGGTAAGCTGCTGCTACTGCCGACTTATCGATCTCTTGCGCTGCTTTTCAGGGATCAAAGCGCGGGAGAGAACACGGAAATGATATGCACAATAGTTCTAAATCTGCAAGAAGAACTAGCCCTGAGATTTCATCGTCAGCCGCAAATAATGCCGAGTCCACGAAAGGTGCACCAAGTCAGGCGGGGACACCCTGGGACTGGACCGATCAGGTTAACATGCAAAGTGATGCAGACTTTTTTGCGGAGTTCGGAGATTTTGGAGATTTCTTTGAAGGTGACGGGCTTGGTTTCGGTGAGGTATGCTGCTTCTTCTTTCGACCAGATTTTTGCCCTGACGCACACTTCGTGGCTGTGTAGCCTCCAGGGACGATGGAATCCCAATCATACATGTTCCCGTTTGACGGTGATGGGTCGAATACTCCGGGAACACAGTTTATTGAGACTTCAGATCCAATGCGACTACCGATACTGGATTTTCCTATGCTTGAGGTATTGGGTCAAGCGGAAGATTTGGAAAAGGAACAGGATACAGGCACAGTCGTCGATGAGAAGTGCGAACCAGAATCTTCACCGCCTGTTCTCGTTCCTGCCGGTCTTTCTCTAGTGGCCAAGTCCGAAGCGGCCTTGATATTTGCTTCCGAGTATGCTCCTATCGATATTACTGGTCTGGACAAGCTGGACAGAAAACCTGCATACAAACCAGATGCAAGAAAGGAAACTTCAGCTTCTCAGTCCGCAAGCTATGTTTATGGAGCGACTCCTCCACCGACGCCAAAGCTAGACTCGTACGAACGTAAAGCGCACTCTAGATGGCGGACCGAGTTTGAAGAACGGAAAAATGTAGCAGTTAACAATTTCGGCAACTTAAAGTATGGTGAAACATCGCCTACGGACAATACTCTGGTTGCGAAAACTGGTAACTCCCATCGAATACAAGGGCCACTGGCTGCTACACTTGCAACGGAGTTGGAATGTGCAATGTTTCAACTTCAACTCCACAGCGTCAAAGGATTCGCGTACTGTGCTCATCCGAACGAACATGCCAAGCTTACAGAGTCGTCTCATAAGGAATGCACTTCTGAAATAACGGACTCGTCAGATGCCTGCGACAGCTTACGGCGCAAGCCTGATCGGAAGAAAGTTCCTGAAAGAATTGCTGGAGATACGGATGACTTATCTCACGATGGGCCTCGGCCAGTTGAGGTTGGCGTATGGCGTCCAGTTGGTTTACCAAAGCCGCAGCAAAGGCCTCCGGATGGTGGCCGCGGAGTGGTTTCCAATATAGCATCTCCAGAGGTTGGCACTCCGTCTGAAATAAGTGACGCGGCCATGCAGGACATCGTCGACTTGATACCGCTTTTAGTTCAACAAGCAGCTTGTTGCAATGACATATCTCTGAATGGGGAGCATGGAGATGGTGCATTAGCTTGGCTGACTTTACAGCAGAAGCTAAGTCAACAGGATCTGAGCTGGACAAGTGATGTGTGTGATCCTTCTATCACCGAGGTGAGTGTCTGTTTTTTTTTTTTTTTCATTCAATACCAAGCTTTCTGCGGTGGTGGTGTGCAGATTTCTCCTGCTACAGTAGCAAGCATTCTTCAGTCAGATATGCGTCAGGCTGTGGGTGTTGCGTTTAGTGATATCAATGCGGCTGGTCCGTTGAGCTTGGCTGAGTGGTGTCGGGGTAAGACTCCGACAGACAATCATTCAGGACCATCTGACTCTAAGGACCTTGTCAGCAGTATAACCGGCGAGCCTATTACGCCTCCGCAATCGGCGAAGGTAGTGTCTTTGCAGGATCTGGATAATCATGCTCCGGATTTTCGTAGGAGTGGTCGAGAGGCCGAGGATGCTGCTCAGAGAAGGTTGTGTGTTGATGATGCTGAAAGTCAAGCATTATCATACGCCATGCTTCCAGTGCCTACTCTTCTCGTCGGGTATTTCTCTCTTTTGCCATTTCATTGCTGTCCTAAATAGTGTCTTCGTCTCAGATATCAAGAAGATTGGTTAAGAACGGCTCCAAGGTCTCTGCGGTACTGGGAAAAAGCTCCTTTCGAACCGTATGGCTACCCGAAATCTGTAAGGCTTTTCATTTGCTAAGTCTTCCAAATTCACTGACTCGTTTTCGAAGGTTACATACTACGTTATTTGCGCTGGTTTGGATCCTTTGCTGTGTTCCGCACTTGAGTTTTTTCAGCAACTCAGTAGTGGTAAGTCTTCAATGCCACCATTGTTGGGATTCCCCTCATTTTTTATTTTTTATTTTATTTTATTTTATTTTATTTGTGCAGTTTATGAAGCATGCAAGCTTGGAGCACACATTCCAGCCACTGTCACGGCACAAACTGTCAGCAAACGCTTGCTACCTGGATTCGTTCCAGTAGATTTTCCTTCCAAGCTTAAAGGAAGTTCCTCATCTATTAATCTGGCAAACGACTACATAACGGCTATGGATAATGGCTGGGATGTCTCCGAATTTCGAAAGTCTCTTCGAAAAGCGTGCAAATCCCTCAACCTCGGCAATTCTGTATCCCTGGAGGCTGATCATGAAAACAGCCCCAGCACGGTATGCGATGGCCACTTTGTATGTATCTTCTAACACACAAGTGCAGGTTCTTTACGTTGTAAGTCCTTCGTCGGAGCCCTCCATGGTTTTGCAAACGCTGATGGAGACCTGTCAGAGCATTGGACCGAACTTAAACATCAAAAAGGCTTCAGGGAAAAATTCAATGGAGGATGGAAAGCAACCAGTTGTCGGATTTTCTATCGGAAGGCTAGCCTTGCAAGTGGTAACTCCCGAAACGGTGATAAGGTTGAGTAGCTCGCCTGCAGCCGGGCTTGACATCCTGAAGGAGCTATCATTTGCAGTATATAACAAGCTGCGTCGTATACCATACAAAGCTGCTGAAGATACGCAACAATATGGCTTTGCATCTAAATCCCGTATGGGTTTGCAGAGCAATACTGCGATGACATGGAAAGACTGTCGGAATGTCTCATTACTGGACACTGGAAACTTACGCTGGGACAAGTCATGGTCTTCTTCCAGGCTGTTGGAAACGTCTGCTTCCGGTCCGCCAGCACCATTCCGACTCTTATACGAGCCTCTGTTTATTCTCGCGGATGGTTGTTTATTGGACCACTCTATGGGACAACTGACCAAAGCCAGAACAGAAGAGGTTTCGACACAGAGTTTTGGGATACCAGACACTGGCAGTGTAGCCGACGGGGTCTCCAGGACTAGCAGCCAGCCACTCTCTTTTCACTGCTGTTATTCGTGGACGAGCAACTGGCTGTGGCTGATCGCCGTCTGGATAGATTCCCAAGGGAAGATGCTGGACGTGAACGTATTTCCTAGTCCCCGGTGCACGCAGGATAAGGATGACTGCTCCAAAGAACTGTGTCAGCTCTTTAGTCAGGTAATGCAACAGGGTCAGCAGCTCTTGGCAACCATGTCTCGAACGGCAGGCAACAGGGGCCACACAGTTACCGTCACCCGCATGGGTGTTCTGTATGAAACCGAGTACCAAGGTATGATCAAGTTATACTTTTTCTTATCAAGCTAACTGATCCTCGACCATGCTGCAGAATGGCAACGCGTGTTTATGAACATCGCGGGAGATGAATCCAGAGCATGGCCCGTGGTGATTCGTCCGGACAGCGGCGGTGATGGTAGCTCTTTGTCCCAGCAGAGAAATGTGAGCGCAGTCGTGGGATTTCCATCGTCTCCAGGTTCGTCGTCGTCTTTTGTTTCGCGCGGCTTAAACCCAAAGCCGGAGATCAACTTCCATGCTGGGAAGCTTGCCGGTGTGACCTTGGCAACGGTGTCTGGTGACGAATCATTGCAGGTGCTGAGCCTCGCCGAATCTGCTGGTAAGCTGGAATTTCCTTCGTATCCAACTATACGCTGACTGATGTTTTCATTCCAGCAGCTTCGACATGGTCCGTAGCCAGCTCGAGTGGACTAGCCTCCGGTTTTGGCATGGCAAAAACAATCGCTTCTCTTAACGGGGCTTACCTCTTCATTCCCGCTCACGGTTTACGCTCGCTCTCCTCGTCAGACTCGGTGGCTAGCAACAAAGTCAACGCCCCGGCATTTGGACAGTGGATCCAGAGCAGAGGCTCCGTCTCTCCCGTTGCATCCGGCTACGTCATCTCCGGCCCGACCACAGCTCTACGAGCCGAGGTTGCTCAAGTTTCCATGGAGGAGGAATGGCCGAGCACGCTCCAGATCGGTCTCGTAGCACACTTTGGCTCCTCCAAGGCTCGGCAGGAGACGCAAGGAATGCGTCTGGGTGGGAATGGCTTGTGTGACAACGCCGGTAGTAGCAGCAACACTGGCGGCAGCAGTGCGGGTACAGGAAAGCAAGGCAGCAGCAGCGGCATCAAGCAGCAAATCCGCTACGTTCTAGAGCAACTTGGAGCCGAGTTTTATGGCCTGTCATGGCTGACCATCAGTCCCATGTACCTCCACCGCCGCCGACCGCTGCCTTACCACTGCGACGTAGCGCAGCGGCTGGAGAAGCTACTGGGTTACATGGAGGCGGCGGCGGAGCTATCGCCCACTGCTACCACGGCCACCGCCGCCGCCACCGCTAGCTAGAGACACTATGATTAACTATGTACATATGGGCTTCTTTTACCGGTTGACAAGTGTAGACAACAATACGTATGCTCCTCCCTCGTTTGGATTCATACTCAATACCATATTTGCGGCACGTCCACCATTCTGTAAGACTCTATGGCTTTTGCACGCCCCAAGCAAGCTAGTCCACTCCAAAACATCTGGAAAGTATGGCATGTTTGCAATGAGCTCTTCTGCCTCGTTCAGGTGTCCTGACCGGCCCAACAGATCCACAAAGCATCTATAGTGCTGCTTGCTTGGCTCCATTCCATAGTCTGCTACAACTGAAGCAAAGCACTGCCTTCCTCGCTTAACGTTTCCAGTATGGCTGCACGCCACAAGACCCAAAACAAAGCACGTCAAGTCAGGGAGGTGGAGCATCTTGAGCGAATCAAACAGTTCCAATGCCTCAAGTGATCTACCCGCATGAGCTAGGGCTGCCAGCATTGCAGCATATGAAATCAGGTCAGGCTCGGGAATCTGGGCCAGCAGCTTCAAAGCTCTGTCCAAATGCCCATTCACGGCATATGCTGTCAACAGGGTATTCCATGTAGCTGATTCGTGTTGGGGGACACTTACAAACATCCTAATGGCCTTGGCCAGATGCCCATGATGAGAGTATGCTGAAAGCATTGTGTTCCATGACAGGAGATCCTGCTCTGGCATGGAGTTGAAGTGTTGCTCCATCTCCACCATTTCATACACCCCGCTCTTGCTTTTCAAGAGTAGCATTGTGGTCCACGAGACGAGGTCGCGCTGTGGCATTTCTTCAAACAAGCACGTAGACTCCTCTATGCAACTGTGGCAGGCATATGCCGCAAGCATTGAGTTCCAGGATACAATGTCCCTGAAAGCCATTTTGGTAAACACAAGCATGGCATATTCAACGAGGCCGCTTTCTGAGAATGCAGCAATCATTGTGTTGGACGATAAGACGTCGTGATATGGCATGTCTTTGAAAATCTCTTTAGCTTCTTCAATATGCCGTGACTGGGCATATACTGCCAACATGGCATTATACGAGGCAAGGTTGCGCTGTGGCATCTCTCTAAACATCTCTTGTGACCCGACTGTATTGCCTGCCTCGCCCAAACCATAAATCAGGGCATTCCACGACACAAGATCCCATTCGGGCATGCTGTTGAAAATCTCCAAACAACGATGCCCTTGCTTGTTTTGGGCATGTGCAACAAGCATCACATTCCAGCACACGATGTCGATCTGATGGGCCTCCAGAAATATAAGCTCAGATTCCTGTAAATACCCTTCTTGGGCATACAGTGCCATGATTGTTGTCCATGAAACCAGGTTCCTTTCTGGCATCTCTTCAAGGAAGTTTGCAGATTCCTCTAGACGACCGGCTCGAGCATAGGCTGCGAGCATCCCATTCCACGTCGCCACATTCCGCAAAGGAATGCTGCCAAACAGCTGCTGGGAGAGATCCAGGCGTCCATTCTCAGAGCATGCACTGATCATGGCATTCCACGAAACAATGTCTCTCTCTGGCATTTGCTCAAAGATCTCAATCGCAGACTCTACCTCTCCACTCTGGGCATACATGCTGATCATCGTTGTGTACGTCACCTCGTTTCTAGCGGGCATTCCCTCGAACATCTCCACACACTCTTTCATATGCCCAGTTCGGGCATATCCAGCCAAGAGCACATTCCAAGGAATGACGCTCTTGTGAGGCATTGTCGCAAAGATTCTCTGGGCTTCTTCCAAAAGCCCGTTCCTTACGTAGGCAATGAGCAGGAGATCCCAGGAGAAGGAATCTTTCCTGTGGAGCGAGTCAAAGACCCGGCGGGCATTAGCGACACTAGAACACCTCCCATACATCTCGATCAGCTTGTTGCAAAGGAAGATGTCGTTGCTCGTGTCCTTGAGGATGGATTGGATCCTGGAGTGAGCTTGGAGCGCTTGAGAGGGAGTTGCAGAGCTTTGGATGAGCTCCAAGCACTGCTGCCTCCTATTCATTCATTTACTTGTTACTTATTATCTTGAGTTTAGGGTTTTAGCGAGGGAATGCTCCAGCAGCGTGTGAATGCGCTCACGGGCGAGAGCGAATGGATTCTCGTCAGCGATGGAGACGATGGCGATGGCGATGCGAGCGATGCCTTGGCGGAGAGCATGTACCTTGATATGCTGAATGATCGCGCCAGGAACACGGCATTCTCTTCCGCAATCGCGAAGCTCGGCCGCCATGGCCATGTCCTCGACATTGGGTAAGGTTAGAGATCCTTCTTTGCTGAGCTAGATAGATGCATTCTTGGCAGTGCTGGGACTGGGCTCTTGTCGATGATGGCTTGGCGGGCAATGGAAAAGCAGTGCCAGGTGACTGCTTGCGAATCGTTTCTTCCAATGTACAAGCTGGCTCGCAAAGTTTGCCGAGACAATGGGACGATGGGAGCGATCAAGCTGCTCCATATGCGCTCGGATGAGATCAAAGTCGGGGTGGACATCTCCAGCAGAGCCGATGCATTGGTACGTTCTTCTTCCGCTGGACTCTTCTACTAAGTATCTCTCCAGGTATGTGAGATTTTAGACTCGGAGTTGCTTGGAGAAGGGATAATTCCAAGCTTGAGGCACGCTCACGAGCATTTACTCCAGCCTAATGCTGCAACAGTGCCATATCGAGCTACTGTGTATGCCCAGGTATTGTAAAGTCTCTTTTCCAATCGATGGAGTTTACAACTTTTTCTTAGCTGGTCGAGTGCGACTTTCTCTGGAGATTTCACGACCTTCAAGGAGTAGAAGCTCAGCTGCAGGACGGAATGGCTTTTGCTCCCGAGGATTTCTACTCTTATTTCAAGCACAGACAACATGCTTTTCACGTAGATGAAATCCCCGGTATCAAGCTGGTAATTTAGTAGAGTTCTCTTACAAGTTACCAAAAACCCGTGGTGTTGCAGCTTTCTGAGCCGTTTGAAGCTTTCACTCTTGACTTTTATAGAGCTCCAGATGTGTGTGGACAATTCACTCGAGCCGTGCATGTCAACATGTCTGGGACTGCTCACGCAATAGTTTCATGGTACGAAACTTGCTCAGATTCGCTTTCGCTTTCCTCTCTGATTGAACTTGACAAGGTGGGTGCTGCAGCTTGACAAAGATGGCTTGATTTGCTACTCAACTGCTCCTCGTTGGGTCAAAGGTTTGTTTTCCTGTTTGATTCTTTGAGTAGCTCCTTCTAAGAGGGTAATTCTCAGGCGCAAGTGATTGGTGTGACCATTGGAAACAATGTGTCTGGTTTCTTCCTGGACAAGGTATTTCGGTGGAGCAGCACTCAGAGCTTTGCGTCGTAGTCAGCCACGATGAAACCTCAGTGCGGTATGACATCAATGGTGGTGGACGCTGCAATAGTTTTACGTCTGGTTTCAAGCTGAGCCCACAAAGGTGTCGCATGCTTGGGGACGGTAGCAGGCGTTCTATCATACGTTCTGTCATTCAGAAAGCTGTAAGTAAGTCCCCTTTGAATCTATTCTTACTCATTTTTTCTTCTTTTTTTCTTTATGTCCAGCTTGGAGAGCGAGAAGTTGGAAACTGTCTCATTCTGGATGACGGTCTGATGAGCGCCGTGTGTGCTCTATCTACAGTACATGGGTCCTGCCATGTGGCTGGGTTGTTCCCAGGCTGTAGAAGAGATGGCTTGAAGTACTTGGCGAGCGTCGCGAGCAAGTTGTCTATAATACACAAAGATGTCAAGCATCTCACCCGGGACGATTTCAAGGGACATGAAGTATACAGTCTTGCAACTCCATTGGATATTGACGGGTTTTTTTCTTTTCGCAACAGGTGGATGTTCTTTTAGCAGAGCCTTATTATGCCACGTACGAGCATGCGTTGCCGTGGAAGCAGCTGCGGTTTTGGTTAGTTTTCGTTTTCTTATGAGTTGGAAGTCGTTTAAAGCAGTGAGATTCCAGGTACGAGAGAACGACGCTAAGTCCGTTGCTATCAGAGAATCCTATTATAGTTCCTTGCCTTGGAATTCTCTATGGGATGGCTTGTTATCTTCCTGTAAGTTTTTTTGAGACGTCAAAAGGATTTCACTTTTTGTAAAAACAGGATTTGTGGCAAAGCCGTTGTTGCCTTGAAGGCGTTGAAGGGTTTGACCACAGCTTAGTTAATTCAATGCTTGGAGCATGTGGAAACCTTCCAGATGGCCAAGACAGTCCAATTTTACCATTTTCAGTATGGCAATGTGGACGACATGAGGTTTGTATTTTTTACGTGAAACAAGGGGCTTAACTCGAATTTTGTGTTGTGGTCAGTCATTGACAAAACCGTTTCCACTGCTCGAGTTCAACATGCGTGAGGAAATTCACAGTCTAAGTGTATTTGCAAAGGTTAGTCATTTTAGGTGGCATGGCACCACTGAACGTTTTCGGCATTTAGCACAGGTTACCTTCGTAAAGAGTGGACTTTGCCATGGAGTTGTCCTGTGGATGGACTGGGTGATGGATCCCGAGAACAAAGATTTGGTACTTTCAACGGGACATGTAAATCCAAGTGAGTAAGATCTCATCTCAACGAGTTTGTTCCTGACTAGTCATTTTTTAGGCGGCAGCTGGAAGCAGGGTGTCAAGCTTTTCCGAAAACCACTGCAAGTCACTGAGACTTTAGAGCTCAATGCGTCCTTCAATGCACAGACTGGAGAGATCAGCGTCACTCAGATGGTGTGAAGTCACAAATATCGACTCTGTTGCATTTTGGAAAGATGAAAATCAATATTAAACAAATGTAAGTAAAGTTCATAGTTCTTCGTTTCTTCATCCTTCAAGCAGATGGTGTCAATGCATGGTAACTTCCGCCACCTCTCAATTGCTGAGTTATATACCACCAAAATCCTGTCTGCGTTGTCCACTTCCACTTCTCCCTCGTCATCGTCGTTGTGAACCAGCATTGAATGCCCGAAACCCATATCCCACAAACTTCCTGGGGACCTCAAGGATCTGGCACTGCGCCCGAGAATGGGAGCGCTCTCAAAAAGTCGAGCATCTTGCCACTGCACGCCACAAACTGGTGAGGGTCAATGTCATCACCCAACGTCCTCTCGTTCGACGACTCCTCCGAGAAGATGGAGCCGGCATCCACATCGCCACGCCCTGCCAAACACTGCGCAGCGCATGGAGCAGATCTTGCTGGAGATAATATCTCGACTCCTGACCCAAGCGAACAATCTTAAAATCTTAAAAGTCTTGAAGGACGCAGTGTCACCGCATGGTTTTACCATGTGCCACGTGTTCGTTACTCGTGAGAGGCCTTGTGATTCCAGAAATGATAAACCTCGAGCTCTAAACTCTCCATAAATTTTCTTAGTTTTTAACTTTTCTCTTTTCCGGTTCAAATCGCGTGGCTGCTGACTTGCATTTAAAAGCTTATACCTCCAACCAAACACAACGGGATCAAGGAGTTTTGCATCTAGGACAATCAATTCCATGCACTCTCTCATGAGAGTTTGGATATTGATCCTCTCGAATCCAACACTGATATATCGGAGGTGTACGAACTTTTGTTCGCTCTCCGTTCCTTCTTTGACCTAGAACACAACATGAGATGATTAAGAGCATCGTTTCCTCAACTTGGATTCTGTCTGTCCGGTGAACGGTGACCGCGTCTTTCAATTCACAAAAGTCAATGTAAGTCAATCAATAAAACTCGTCTGCCATCGACAAGCTCAATTTTGGCAAGATAGGCATCCGTCTGAAGCCACAGATATTGATTCTAAAAAAACATCAAACAAAGTACATTCGAGTTCATGCCATCTTTTTTCGCTTCAAGTTCTTAGCTTCTATCAAGCAGATGGTGTTGTTAGGCCTGAAGTAAACAGCTTCACACGCATGCTCGTTATATATGGTAGTTTCTGCCACGTGAGCTATACACTGGTACCAAAATCCTGTCATCGCCAACTTCCTCTTCTTCCTCCTGCTTCTCATCTGGAACCGTGTTTGCCCCTCCCTCTTGCTTGCTCTTCTCTTCCTGGTCTTCCTCCTCCTCTTCCTCTTCCTCTTCTTCATCGATGTTGTAAGGGAGTTCCAGCACCACCACTCCGTCCACAACATTACACGCCTGAAACCCATATCCGCTTCCCTCCCCCGCAAACTTCTTGGGGACATCAGAGATCCAGTCCTGCGCCCGAGAATGGCAGCGCTGTCTCACTTTCAGGATGTTGTCAAAGTGCCAGAAGTCGAGTATCTTGCCATTGCGGTCGCTGTCATCAACCAGAGGCGTCTTGTTCCCCTTCTCCGAGAAGAAGGATCCGGCATCCACATCTCTCCTTGTCGGCCTCCCAGACACTGCGCAGCGCATCCTGGCATGCACGTCGGAATCCTTGAACACGCTGTTGCGAGTCCTGCTCCACTTCAAGTCGTAAACTTGGACCTTGACAGCATATCTTGCCGGCTCATGGCGGATATTATGTTTCCATAACAGCACCCAAGTTCATGGAGTAGCGAAAGTAGTGAACCTCGCCACTTGAAGGAACAGTGCCAATAGTAACGCATCCTCCATATCACTCGCCATGTGCCATGTGTTCGTTACCGGGTTGCCAACAGCGTGCGTTTGCACAAGTTAACCATCGCCAACTGCGAAGTTGGCGGGGAACGCCGAAAGGATACACCAGCAAATCATGAAGTATACCTATTAGGTGTCTTTAACATAGAACGATATAATTTCAAACAACATATAAAAGTAAAATGAAATCAGGACAAAAGTTCCTTTATATATTAAAAAAGATAACATAAAAAAAGGGCAAACCAACGTGGCATGTCTTTTTGACGAGTCAGCATTTATAATGGGAAAGTTCGGCTAGCCAAATCCTTAAACAGGGTAGGGCAAAGCCAGAGAGATGAAGATGCTGAGCCTAGACGACTCAATAGACGATCACCTGAAGTGGGCATTTCCAAAAGCTCAAATGAGCTCCTCCATTGAGGCTTGCGTGAAGGCGCTGGAGGGAGATACGATTTCTACGCTGAAGGACC